ATTTTATTTTTTCTGCTTGGGTTAAGACGGCTTCTTAAACATTGAGCCTTTCATTGATTTTAGAAAATTCATATTTCATAGGATTTCCCAACATATTTCTTCTCTTAGCAGTCAAATGTCTTGGACCAATGGTCGAAGCCTACTATCCTTTTGTCCCTTCCTAAGGATTAAGTTACCCTACATGTCTCCTTCCTTCTCTTCTGCAGTTTCCATCCCTTTGTCCCTGTGATTCTTTCCAGGTAAATTCTTCTGATAATTTACTAGTTTTTTCTTCAGCTATATCTATCCTGCTGTTAAATCCATTCATTGAGTTTCTCATGTTGACTATTATATTTTTAAAATCTAGGATTTCTATTATTTTTTTCAGATCTGCTACATCATTTTTATCATTTCTAGTTCTCTTGAAAATTTCAATATTGACTTTCATGTCTTTGAACATAGTAAGTGTCTTAGCTCACAAAATACCACAGACTGGGTAGCTTAAACAACAGAAATTTATTTTCTCATAGTTCTGGAGGCTAAAAGTCTAAGATCAAGGTACCAGCATGGTTGGTTTCTGGGGAGGACTCTCTTCCTAGCTTGTAGATGGCTGCCTTCTTGCTATGTCCTCACATGGCAGGGAAAGAGAGAGAGAGCAAGCTTTCTGGTGTCTCTTCTTATAAGGGGCCTATTCCCATCATGAGGCACCCACCCTCATGATCTCATCTAATCCTAATTATCTCCCACAGTCCTCATCTCCAAATGTTATCATACGGAAGGTAAAGGATTCAAAATATGAATCTTGGGGGGGACACAATTCAATCCATAGGATTCTACTCCAGCCCCCCAAAATTCACATCCTTCTCACATGTAAAATATATTCATTCCACCCCAACAGCTCCAAAAGTCTTCACCCACTTGAGCATCCATTTTAAAGTCCAAAGTCTTAAACATCATCTAAATCAGATATGTGTGAGACTCAAGGTATGATTCATCCTGAGGCAACATTCCTCTCCAGCTGTGAACCAGACAAGTTATGTGCTTCAAAAATACAATGATGGGATGGGCACAGGATAGATATTCCTATTCCAAAAGGGAGAAGTCAGAAGGAAGAAAGGGGTAATGTGTCCTAAGCAACTCCAAAACCTAGCAAGACAAATTCTATTGGATCTTAAAGCTTAAGATGAATCCTCTTTGGCTCAATGTCCTGCCTTCCAGGTCCACTGGGATGGCAGCAGTACTCCCATGGCTCTGTGGGGTGGCCCTGCCCCCTCAGCTCTGCTGTGCCCCATTACCCACAGCTCTCAGTGGGGGTCCTGTCACTGCAGCTCTGCCAGGGTAGGGTCCCATGGGCAACCCATCCTTAAGGTTCTGGGGAGAGGCCATCTGACCTATTGAAACTGAGGCAGTGGCCTCAATAATCTCTGAATTGCCTTCAGGGTTATTTTTTCCTCTTCTTGAAGAACTGTGCACAGTCACAGCGTAACAGCTCTCATCCTGTCAAATCCAAGAAGTCTGACAGCCTTCCTTCATTTCATACTGTCTCCATCCCCTTCAGTTCAAATTGGCAGTGTTCCTACTTTTATAATGCCATAAGCTCTTTATCAAATAGCTGTTCAGCTACACTCTTAGTGTTCTTTTCAGAATATACTTTCTCATTTTTTGAAATATAGATAGGCTGAGAACTTTCCAAATCTTCAAGTTCTTGTTCTTTTTTGCTTAATAATTCCTTTTTCAATTCATCTCTCTCCTTTCACATTTTACTATAAGCAGTCAGGAGGAACCAAGTCACTCCTTCAATACTTTGCTTAGAAATCTTCTCAGCTAATTATCTAATTTCATTGCTCACAAGTTTTATCTTCCATAAAACACTAGAACAAGTTCAGCCAAGTTCTTTGCCACTTGATAACAGGGATTGCCTTTCTTCCAATTCCCAATAACACGTTCCACATTTCTGAGACCTCACCAGAATTGCTCTTAACATTCATATTTCTAGCCTGCACCTCAAAACTCTTTCCGCCTCTACCCATTATCTAGTTCCAAAGCCACTTCCACATGTTTAGGTATTCGTTACAGCAGCACTCCATTCCTGGTACCAAAATCTGGCTTAGGCAGATCAGGCTGCCCTAACAAATACCAGACTAGGCGGCTTAAGCAACAGAATTTATTTTCTTGTAAGTCTGGAGGCTAGAAGTCCACAGCAGCAAGCATGGCTATTATAAAATCTATGTCTAATAAGGCTAACGTTTTAGATCCTGTTAGGTCTGTTTCTATTGTCTGTGATTCCTGCTGCTGCTTGTTCATGTCTTCTTATGTATCTGGATAGCTTTGATTGTGTTCTGGAAATTGTACACGAAAAACTGTTTGTGAAAATAAACTGAGGTCCAGGATGATGTCAACGTTCTCCAAAGAGAATTTAAGTTTTGTTTCTGACAAGTTCCATGAGACAATAGGAATCAAAGATCTCTTTAATTCAATCCGGGATTGAGATTTTTTCTGGATCACTCAGATGATTAGAAGCTAAACTGTAGCCTATGTGAGGGACAGTTTACTTCCTATTAACTCTTATTAGGGCATAGCCTTTGGAGTCCCAACCCAAATGGAGGAGGTTTACCAGGGCCTCAACCTTGAGGCCAGTTTTTTTTCCCCCTAGTTTTGCAAACCTGGTGAAAGCACTGCTCAGCCTTTCAGCTACATTTTCTAGAATTTGCATATTCCTTCAGAAAAAAAAGTGGCCACAAATGCCAGACCCAACCCTCTGAATTTGTCTTCTCCTGAATTTTTGCCCAGGAATTCTTCACTATTTTGATAGCTCTCCATTGTCTTCAAGCTGATTAAAAATATTTTTTTAATCAATGATCCATGCCTACTGCCCCTTTCCCTAAGCATTATTAAACAATCTCATATCTGCCTTTCCCTCCGAGAGAAGGAAGAGAGAGTAATATATACTACAGGGGCAACTTAGCACCATGTTCCAACCATTTAATAAAGTATTAAGAAGATACTTTATTAATTTATTGGCTGATCTTCCTTGCTGAGTGTCTGTAGTTAGCCTGGCAACTAGATTTTTTTTGAAACTATGTTTTATAACTACAATACGCTTTACATAGGGTTTTTTTTTTTTTTTTGGTGAGGAAGATTGGCTCTGAGCTAACATCTTTGCCAGTGTTCCTCCATTTTTTGTATGTGGGATGCTGCCACAGCATGGCTTGATGAGCGGTGAGTAGGTCCGCACCCAGGATCTGAACTCACGAACCCTGGGCCGCTGAAGCGGAGCATGCGAACTTAACCACTACACCATTGGGCCAGCCCCTTAACATAGGTTTTAATGAAATGTATTTTACTTTCAGTAAATATAAAAGAGAAAATCATTTTAACAGTCCTCTGGCTTGATTTCACAGATCACCATGGATGTCACAGAACAGATATTATACACAGAAGTAAATGCAGATGAATTCAATTCAAATTATGCAAATTATTAATCTTATTAAATTTGTACATAAGAAAAATGACTACCCCAACATTAAGGGTGATTTTTATCACAATAATAAGATAGACAATATGCTTTGGTCCTTGAATTTATATTATACAGATAGTATATAACATTATATGTAAATACATGGTTTATATCTTCAATGATTTCAGAGGTTATTTCATTATTAATTAAAAACAGAAGATTTTCTGCTGTAATTTACAGCCACAGCTTGGTATTTAAGAGCCCTTTATCAGTTTTCTCTCTGCTTTCCTTCTTAACTGCCCCCTCATCTCAACCTTCCTTCCACGATCCTCTTTGATTGAGACTTAAGGTCCCAATAGATTCCCCTGAAGAGGGTCTCTTGGTCACATATGCATGGGCAAACCTCAAGGAAGGGAAATTATTTGCATAAGATTATACAGTTAGTGGCAGAGCTGACCGACACCCAAACCTTCTGAATGCCAGGCTCGCATTTCCCCTAAGCTTTTGTGCCTTCCCCCACCTGACAGCACACCCTTCAACCAAAATAGCGGACAATGTGCCTCCACCACGGGAGGGCTGAGGGAGACGGTATGGGTAACGGGTTCACTCCCTTTCCCCTTCTCATGAGGATTTTACTTTCAATTGACTCTCTAGCTCTGTTCTCCTAGTAATCTGATAAGGTGGTATGTGCCAACTATGTTACTAAGCAACAGTACTTAAGGTAAAAATGACCCCTGATTGGTAACTAGCATCTCACTAGGAAGAATTATAAATGAATTACCTGATTGATACACCTAATAGGAAACTGCAGCTTTGAGCTTTCCTGAGTGTGCCAACTTTTGTAACTGGGCATATCCATTAGGGGAAGCCTGGAAACTTCACCTATGGAATTATTACAAGAGATACTAGCCCGTGGGGCAGGTAACCCAGGGCAGCTCCTGCACCGACCCAATGCAAATCTCTTCTCCTTGCACCTGAGCTTTGTAACCTGGGGGCTAAAGAAAATAGCTACGTGTTCTTCTGTGTGGATATGGCAAGAGCTCCCAGAGGAAGAGAAACTCCTGATGGTGCCCTGCGGGAAGCTGTGGTTCCTGTCTTATCTCTTTCTGAGCAGACTGATACTCAAATCAATCAAATACGGCCTATGTTAGTGTCACGAGTATGAATGTTTGGTTGAGCCTAAGACCAATGCTTGGTGGGCACTGTGGAAGGCATCTGGGTCACAACTGGGCAGACTGTGCCTCGTGCTATGCTTACAACTAGCACAATGCGACAGAAGTACCTTGTCTACCTCCATAAGAGCAAGCTTTTTTTTATAACACTGACACATTTTGCAGCTTTTTTTGTGATGGAATATAGTCAGATGCTAAAAGAACCCATAAAAAATAATCTAGAGTCCTGTTTTCTGGTCACAAGAGTCCAAATGCTGTAATATCAACTCTATTCTCTAATAATTTCAATAGCAGATTACATAACCTAGATGAAATGTGCCAATTCAAATGGGAGTACTTCCTTTTCTTAGACAATGGACAATCTTTTGCTTTATGACTGTCAGAGTATAGCACGAAGCTGAACGATGCTGCTTTTCCTCCTCCCTCTACTTCCTTCCAGATGAAAAATCAAACTCACCTTAGCTGTCTTTCTCATTTTGGGTTTCTCCCTGTAGTAACTCGTCAGTGTCCGAGACCTCATCTTGCTGCTGCTCAACAAGATTCTTTCTGACCACGGCTTCCGTGTGCCTGTGGATGATCTGATGGGCTGCAAGAAGATGCTTCCGCTGTGCGTTCCTCACTGTGCCAAAGTCACAGAGGAATTTTTACTCTGAAAGTCTGAAATCATTCCCACAGGTTTTCAAGGCAGGAGTGATAGAAATGATAATTTTGCAAACCACATATTCCTTTGCTGAAGGCTGATTGGGTTAAATAAAAATTACCTGCTCTCTGTTTTAGAAGGACACCTTCTAAACGTAACCAAACCCAAATCTGATTATCGCTGCTCCCCTGTTCCCATTCTCTGTTTCTGTCCCATCATACCCCTCCCCACCAGGCTTGCCTCCACCCCACTCCTCAGCCAATTCCCTCGCCTGGGACACCAGCACTCCAAATCCTACCCTTTCTGCAAAGCCCAGCTCACGTCCCAGCTCCTCCAGGACATCTCTGACTGCGTCAGCCCACATTTACCATCACCACACCGGAGTGTGTACCAACCCATTCAGCACTGAAGCACTTCATGTGAGTGACATTTTCTTTTTTACCTAGATTGTAAATGACTTAAAGGTAAAGCCCTTATCTCAAACTTCTCTTTGAGCTTCAGTTCCTAATATGGAATGCACTTGTTGATTGATGATGAGTTTCTGAGCTCATGGCTTTAGAAGGTGGTCCTAACTCCATATTCTAAGAATATTTACTATCAAGGCTTAGTATGTTAAGCATTCCATTTCCCTTGGAAAGGAGTAATCAAGATGATGATGATAATGGTGTTAGCAGTTAGCATTTGTCCTTACTTTGTGCCAGGTACTGTTTTAAGCAGTTGGCATATGATCATTCATTTAAATCACCCTACAATCCTACAAGAGAGTACTATTAGTATCACCATTTTCAAATGAAGAAACTGAGACAGAGAGATTAGGTAATTTGCCCAAAGTCATACAGCTAGTAAAAGACAGTAAGAGGTACTGCGGATTCTGTGCTATTCAGGTATCAGCCAGTTCACATACGGTAAATCACACGGCAGCCAATAGCACTTCACAGTAGTATGGCTGAAAGAACGGGGGCTTTGGAGCCACACAGACAGACCATGGTTCAAACATGCAAGTCGTATAATATCTCTAAGCACTAATTTCCTTAACTGAAAAATGAGAACACACCTACAGCTATTGTAAGAAATTGAAATAATGTACTTTTAAAAACCCTTAGTACGTTGTCTGGAACTCAACATGCACCTAAAATTTGGCAGTTTCTGTTATTTTACATGTATATACAGGTCTCCTCAAGGTCCTTCCAATCCATGAGCTTTTTAAAAAATGAGATATCTCAAAATGGTCTGTATATAACATTAGCCTATTTTTGGGTAAAGAGTATATGTAATACATATGGTTCCCTTATTTGAAAAGAGAAACTAAAGGTCCTTGTGCGTGCTCCCTGTCCATATGGCTTTCTTGATTTGGTACAAATACAAAGGGAAGAGGCTAAGGACTCACCCAGCTTGCCCACAGACAAGTCCTGCTGGATTCCTTCAGCTCAAGTCCCCCCTCCAGCTTAAGAGAAGCTCGGGGAGGGGGTCACAAACTAATAACTATTAAACACACTATTTCCCCCCGTCCTTCAATTCTCTCAGGTGGAATTTATCTGAAGCAGGCTGATCTCACTTCAGACCTGAAAGAAGTAGATAAGAGTTGCATGTTTTCTGAGGGATCTAGAAAACACAAGATCCCTTTTATAACATAAGGTGACACAGAAATATTTATTTAATCTGAAAATTAAATTTTGTTGGTATAGGCACTATTATATACTGTTGACAGGAGAATGAATTAGAACAATCTTTTTGTGGGGACAATTTAGTAACACCTATCAAAATGTAAAATGTATATATCCTATTTCCAGCATTGCATTGCTAGAATTTACTCTCAGAAGCATGATGAGGATATGTGTAAAATATACTGACTGAAGCACTGCTATTTATAGGAAAACACACCAGAAACAAACCAAATGCTTATTACTAGACGGTACTGGTTTAAAAATTACGGTATAATCATGTAATGGAAAAATAAGATATTTCTTCATTCTCTTCAAATGCCTTAGAACTCCACCATTCCTTTATCCCTGGTTAAGTGATCTGAAATATTACACTCTTTTCTCTTAAACCTCCAGAATTCCCCTGCATACCTCTTTCCGAGCTGTTATTTCACTTAAATATTAGTCTTCTCCTGGTTGCCCCCCTTCCTCTGGGATTAGGTCTGTCACCAATAGTCTAAGAGCTCTAGAAGAATATTCTTTTTTTTTTTTGATGTATTTTTTCTTTCCTTCTCTATTGACTCAAAGCATCAATCTTCAAAACCATGCCACTTTGACACATGATAAACGAGGATATTCAGACTTAGATACAGTCCAGGCAGACACAGGAGCTATTTGTGGCACAGCCGGAGCAGCCGAGGAGACTCGGACCCTCAGGCATCCCTGTTTCTCCACACCCACCTCCACGTGCCTCCCTCTGAGAGGTGCTACAGCCTGAACATCCTACATATTCTCAGCATTTGTTTTATGTTAAAAAAAAAAACAAATAAAAAAATACACCTCTTGGGCTGGCCCCGTGGCTTAGCGGTTGGGTGCGCGCTCCGCTACTGGCAGCCCGGGTTCGGATCCCAGGCGCGCACCAACGCACCACTTCTCCAGCCATGCTGAGGCCGTGTCCCACATACAGCAACTAGAAGGATGTGCAGCTATGACATACAACTATCTACTGGGGCTTGGGGGAAAAAAAAAAGGGAGGAGGATTGGCAATAGATGTTAGCTCAGAGCCGGTCTTCCTCAGCAAAAAGAGGAGGATTAGCATGAATGTTAGCTCAGGGCTGATCTTCCTCACAAAAAAAAATATATATATATACACCTCTTCTGGGAACTTTGGAACTTCCTCTTAAAGAAGGTTTAGATTGGGGTACTCTGTCCAACTTATTAGCACTGCAGCCCGTCTGCACTAGAGGTGAGAATGTTCTGGAATCAGCCTGAAGAGAACCTGACAATCTCTGAAATAAGAAACCTCAGGGCTTCTCCTTCAGAAATCTCCCCACACCTCTACTCAGGTTTAAATCTCTGGGATATTGAAAATAATTTATGTCTCTTAAAAATCATAAAATGAAGCATTTACATTGGCTTACCTTTTTCTTTGACAAACTCCTTTTGCACCTGTGGGATCAGGAAACTATAAACCAGCTCGGCAACAATCTCCTCTGACTGAAGCTGAGTTCGACTAAAAAATAAAAAACAAATTAAACTATTCCTTTGTTGCCTTACTTGAGCTGCCGATTTGTACTCAGCTCCTCCTTGCTTGTGTGAGGAGCTCCACTGCTCAAATCCCACCGTCGCCTTTTCCTTGATTAAGTGATCTGAAATATCACCCTCCTGGTGAGCTTGGTTAACTCTGTAGAAAATTCAGAATTGACCCTGTCCTTCATTTACCTGGCCTGCCAGGAAGGGAATGTGAGACATACAGCTTATTTATACATGGAAGCCAAAAATCTTGGGGTGAAGTCCGAGTAATGTTGCACATCCTTATCTACATTGCTTTCCTGCTGTTCTAACAGTAAGTAATATGAAGGTGATCCAGATTGCAGAGGATTACCGAACAGTCTATTCCCAGTGCTCCTACCACACTAAAGTATAGGCATGTTGCCTTCTAAAGAGTTATGCTAATAAAACAACGGACACTGAAGCGTGAGTTATATATTTGTTTCTCCTTGGTGGTGAAATCTTAAGCTCTTGAAAAAATACACATGAGTAACAGCAAATGGGCTGTCCATTCTACCACCTGTTCTCTTGGTACACACCGGCTTTCCATTTCATAAGCAATGTCATTGATTTCCTCAGCCATCTTCTCAATTTCTGCCCTGGCTTGTTCTTCTGCAGTATTCTCTTCAGTATTCAGTATTATGTCTTCCAGGTAGGAAGTTACAGTACTTTGGTGAACTTTAATCACCTGTGAAAACCAAAAATATCCCAGTTACTGAGAACAGGAATGCTGGTAAACAAGACAAGACAAATGCACAAACATGGGTGGACTTTTTTTGAGCACTTCTACTTTGTCCATTAAGTCAACAGTCCCCTCACTGATCATTCCTCTTCTTCATTATCTAGTCAGTCTATTTGTAACCCACCTACCTGCCCATTCTGGGTAGCCCCCACCCATCTAGCCCATTTTAGATTATGGGTCTTACTCGGGGGTGGGCAATACAACACTGAAGAAAGATCATGGGCTTCAGAGTCAATGGCCCTCTAGCAATATAAAGTACTTGTGTGTTTACATGTACCTTTATAAATGTGTAAGTTTCTGGACACATTTGTGCTTGTGTGCATATGAGTGAACAAGGAAACATAGGCGGCTATATGTGTGTTTCTCCATGTATTTTTAATATTATGTACACTGGATTATATTTGTGAATACATCTTTGTATATGTGCAGGCAAAAGTTTGTGTGTTTAAATATGATTTTATGACCTTCTGTACCTATGTTTCTCAATATCCATATGTTATTTTTCTGGAAATTTACTTAATGTATATATTTCTGTGTTTTGGTATATTTATGTGCAAGCATGTTCATCTTTAAGAGGGTCGTATGAAGCGAGATGGGGAATTTAAATGATGGATGGTATTTGAATCTGGGGTCCATAGATAGCTACATTCTTTACAGAAATGATCTGTAATCAGGCTGGAAGGGTCATCCCAACACTTCCTTGCCTTTCCTGGACATGGCTGACATGTCCTGGTCATTCCCACTTAGAATATCTCTTCCAAGAAGGCCTTTACCGCTCCTCCTTTCCATGTTTTTGAGCACAGTGGCTCCTCTGTCCCTTTCCTTTGCATTCTCACCCCTGTTGGTTCTTCCCACCCCAGCTGGGTTTTCCTTCGTGATATTAGGCAGGGGATAGTAAGTTCTGGTTTGCTAATCATTTCTACTCAGTAACTCTTTTTGAAGCAAAATGTGTTAGGACGACAGGAAGCTAGTATATGAATTATTATTACAGGCTGTTACCATTGTAAATGATCTGCCACTCCAGTTAAAAAGCTGAACTTGACAATATATAACACAAAACTTCTTAAGCTGTATAGACAGAAGGCACTCTATTTAGTTTTTAACAAAACATTTTTTTATTTAAAAAACCAAATACTATTCATGGATCAATCCTAAATCCACGGGAATCGGGTAAATCCTTAAAATCTCAGATCAAATAAGAAGACTCCAAATTGACATTGTATTTTATTTTATCTGATGAGCTCAAAGGTATCCACATATACAACTCAGACAGCCTCATGGACAGGAATGTTTTTAAGTTCCAGGTTGGCTCTTTCTCTCTTTCCCATGTGACCCACATCTGGTTCAAGGGAAACTCTCACACAGGCTCTGCCCTGACATATTCTGGGTATGCCCATGCAGCCTCTTCAGTGCCCACTTCCAAAGCAGCCAGAGAGCCCAGCTCCCCTTCTTTCCATTCCTAGGGGGTCAGACTCACTGAGAAAATTCATATCAAGCTCTCTAAAGACTACAGGAACGGGAAGTACCTCCCCAACCTCTGGGTGTGTTTTTAGGGGGAGTATTAGTCACAGCACCAGCACAGATCCCCTCCAATTTTAACACTTGAGCTTTTATCTTCTTGATGCTGGTGAGGGCGCTTTGAGACATTACTGGTTCCTTGACTCTCCTCTCAATTTGCATCAGGTCATTTTGGAATTTCACATCCATTGTGTCTTGGTCAGAATTATAATTTACGAACCTGGTACTCTAACTCCCAAGTTTATATCTTTAGACAAAACCTCTCTTCTAAATTCCATCTTATATATCCATCTGCTGAAATGGCACCTCTACTGAGATGTCTCCAATATAATATAAATTAAATTCCTGCTTCCACCCCTGCCCCTAAACCTATCCCACGCTCAGCTTTCCCATCTCAGGAAATAGTAGCATCATCTTCCCAGTTGCTTAAGCCGGAAACTGGATGTCATACTTGACCTCTCCCTGTTTCTCACTCTGGCCTATACTACTTCAACAGCCTCCTTGCTGGTCTCCTCATTTCCACTCTGTGCTCCCTCCAACCTATTCTCCTCACAGCAAGCAGAGTAACCTGTTTAAAATGTGTCACTGGACCCCATTTGTCTCCTTCATGAAACTTATTACATTTTCTAATTCTACACTTATTTGCACATTATATAGTATTTAAGCTCCAGGAGAGAAGGGACCCAGTCTGGCTTTTCCCCTCCAAAGTATCCCACAATGCCTCTGCCCAGTGCCTGAACCCAATATATATATATGCCCAATATAGTATATTATATATAGTATATATATACCCAATATATATGTATACCCAATATATATACCCAATATAGTAGGAAGCCAATACATACTTGTTGAATACAATGAAAAACAAAAACAAATGCCATTTTATATCATGAGTTTCCCTTGGTTTGACTCCGCTCCTTACAAGCAGCTTCCAGACATCCAGCCGCCCCCACTTGCCTCCTTAAATATCTGGTCCTCCTCCCGCAGGCGCCTTTGTTCCACCTGGCGCCGACCACTCTCTTCGGCTTCTCGCATCCTCCGCTGCCGCTCGGCCAGCATGGCAAAGGCGTGGACCCTCCTCTCTTCCTGCAGTCTCACCAGCTCTTTGGACAGAAAGTCAAACATGTCGGCCAGCACCCTTCCTTCCAGTCCAGCCAAATGGTTTTCCACCAGTGACACCTTAAAAATAACAATACGATTTTAAGGATACTAATTCCACTAAGAACGGTGATTTATAAAGAGGGATGCTGGAGTACCCAGAACTCTTGACAGTCACTTTACTTTCAGAATGTACTTAGTTTTCACTAGGAACATTATCTCTAGACTGGCCCCAGCCCAAGGTTCTTACTAGGAAAGCTTATGACACAAACTTACACATGAGAAAGTAGATTGCTTCATCAGTCACTGATGGATTATAGTCCTTTAATTATGAAGAGGCTTTAGCAAAACATTTCTGTTAGCATCCACACAGAATGTTTTTTTTTTCTTTTGATTATATCCAGAAGGTAAAATGCTTGTGTCTTCTCAGACGTGAAGGGAAATGTCAAAGTTTTTATCAAAAGATGATGTTGGAGTTCAATAAAATAGAATCTCCTAGAAATTCACTCATGATACCTTTTAATATTTTAATGCTTGGTCCTTTAACACAAGTTTGGGGAATTGTAAGCTCTTGATTAACATGAAAGTAGAAAACTGTGGTAACTTTTTGTTCTTTTAAATAACTTCAAAGTCATTAAGAACTATCTTTGAAACAGAGCAGGAAAAAGCCTCCACGTCTGTGTAATTATTGAGGTAAAGTAGAGGCCTGAGTTCCTGGCCAGGAATAAGCCACAGTATCTATTTATGGATCCCTCTGTCCTGGCTTTGACACATGGAGAATAAAAGTGTTTAAGAAGATTGTATCCTTTGCAACTTCCTCCTCTTCCCTCTTCTATCCTCAGGTATAAGGGAAAAGAGCTCTTCTCCCAGCCATATGCTTCTGTAACACTGACACTTCTCCCTCTGTGCTCAGTTCCCCTCTGGTTTGTATCTGAAGGCAGGAAACCCCTACAGGTCACAAAGGTGGTGTAGCTACTGGGTGAGACCGTCATTCAAGTGTGGTTGTTAGCCCCAACGCCCTCATCCTCATCCTTACTCACCTCCCCGCCCACACATACTTTCTAAACACAAAGTTCAGCTTTACCTATATAATAAGGAGAGGTGGAAAGAAAGGGCGAGACTAAGATGCACCTTACATTTAGAAACTGTGGCCATTCAGCCCAGAGATCACAAACACACTTTTTCCTGTCTCCAGGGATCACAAGCTCCCTCACTTGGGGGGCAAAAGCAACCTTTAAAGTCCCAAGATGGCTACCTGTTCATGTCTAGCCTTCTCTCTCAGCAAGAAATTTGGGTATGCTCAGGTAGTACAATCTAATTTGAACATTAAGTAAAAATATTTAAGAAGGTGATTCTGCTGTGATCATATCATGTAATGTATTACATAATTGGGAACTGTGCATTTTCTGGGCTGCTTTCCACAGAAGTATAAGAGAAGGAGAAAAGGAGAGGATCAGCATTGCTGTAGGGATACATGAGGCACCCACTCCCTCAGACCCCTGCATCTCATTGGTGTATCGAGGCACAGCTGAAGGGAAGTAGGGTGAGTCCCTGGCTAAGCGACAGCTCTTCTCATTAACTCCTCCCTTAGCTCTTAGTTGACACAATATCAGTCAAGTATTTATCCACTAAATGGGATAGATAGATGAGTTGAAAAGCCTGGATTGTCTTAGCTGCATCTGCTAAAGTTTATAATCAGAAACCTTAAAGGGCAGAGGGGGCACTTTTCCATCCAGGACCTGGGACCTGGTGCTTCCAGGGTATTCTGTTCCCTCTCTGAACAGCAGTGCAGCCCCATCTTCATCATTTCCAGGACTCTCGGACCTCCAGAATTCAGCGACTCCAGTGTCCACATTCTCTTCTTTCTCTGGTCTCTCTGTTGGGTCTCACAGCCTGTGGCTTTCTTCCTCCCTCCCCCATACAAGCTCCCCAAAACTCAGCGACCATCCATAGTCCTGCAGTCATGTAAGAGGAATAACTTGTGCTCATTTCCAAGCTGCTTACCATTTGTGCCCAATTCCACACAGCATGAGAGTTATTTGTGTTACCAAAGGTGAGTCATATTAACTCAGCTGTAAGTTTACTTTCTTAAAACACTACACTCTGTGCAAACTGATTCTTTTTCACATTAATTTACAGATAAGGGGGAGAGAGTGTAAGAGTGTATCTACAATGAAGTCAACAACATTAAAAACTGTATATATATAGACAGACGCCAGATAAGTAAAAACATTTACAGTTGTTGGGTTAGACCTGCAATTACCAGCCATTGTCAGATGACACAGAGCTTAGAGGTCATGATAAAAGTCACAGAATATCATGAGATATTAACATATTGAGTATGCAGTTTAACCAGCATGCTATGTACAACTCCAAAACTTACAAATAAGTGCTGATGTTTTAAAATAAATCCCATTTCTCACTATTTTTCTTATGGCTTTTATTACTTATTCATTCTGCTAAGCTCCCACTGAAATATAGTTGAGTCACCAAATACTTAAGAAAAATTGGAAGGAAAACCTTCTAAAATGTGGGGTTTCTTTTCTTTTCTTTCTTTCTTTTGCAAAGAAAGAAAGGCCATATTCAAATCAGCAAGGGCACACCACATTCAAATTATGGGCTGCGGAAGCATTGTGTGAAAACGCTGATGGGGACAGAGTGATGGGATTGTGGGGGATGCTTCCTTTTCATCACTTCATTTATTGTTATAATGTTGCATATACAGTAATAAACATCGAGGGAGAAAATGTAACAAGAAAGTAACAAGCAAGAACAGGAAAGGACCTTGTGCTCACGCAAGTTCCTCTGCCGCTGTAGGGCCAGGGTCACTTGCTTCTCCGCCTTCGTCACCAGCCTGTCATCTTCCTGTAGCGCATGGCTCGTGCGTAGCTCCTGGATCAACTCCAGTCGCTTTTCTTTCCCTTCGAACATCTGTACGAAATCACAGAGAGACTTGCGAATTAGCATCCCTTGTGCCAGGAGCGAGGACTCGCACACAGCGACTTGTGGGGCACTTGTGAACAGTGGGTTCTGTTCTGCCTATTGGGACCACAGAGCATGAGTGTTCCACAGAGCTGGAGTCCAGCCCTCTTTTCTACACCTTCAGCTGCTCAGGCAGAGAAGGAGCTTAGTTATCAGGTAGTTGTTTACTCAATTTCTTAAAAAATGCCTCTCAAAGACCAGGTGAAAACTATAGGGTCATATTAAGAAACTAGAACTTTCCCCTCATTTCCTGTGCTCCTTCCCTAAGAAGCTTGGGGATGGTATTTTTCATGGCCAATATTTTCTTTTCTAAGAGATCTGCCCCTGGTTTGTAACACATAATCTGCTGTCTGAACTTAACTGTGGTATTTCTCCTGGAGAAAACTGAGCAGAGAGTAAAGAATAATGCTGAGCACAAGATGCTCCAGACTTACTCATCATAACTGAGTCTCTTAAGAGTTATAGCTGTCTGGGAGAAAAAACTTTTTAGCTGAGGCTTTATATCAGTCCATTTTTAAATTGAAGCGTGCTTGTTCTAGCAGCACAAATAATCCAGTTAAGGCTTTATAGTCAGGAGACCAGAGTTGAATTTGCTGGCAATTAACATAATCTCTCTCAGACTTACATTACTTGCTTGTAAAATGGAGTAATTGATAGAAAAAAAAAATGAGATGATTTATGTAAAGCAAAGAATATATAATGTGAAAATATAAAAGGGGTTCAAAACTGTAGTTATTATTATTTAGCTATTTCATTTATTATTCAGGTATTGCTAGCTATAAGCAAACTCAAATAATTATATTATGACTTTATGGAAAATTAGGGAATCCACTTGGTTTGTGATGCTTTAATAGTCAAAATTCAGGTAAGAAAATTGGTGGATTTAGCAATCCCAAGGAAGACATTAGTTTCACACTGCCTTGGTTACAACCACGGCAAAGAGCTGCCAGGTCCTTTCTCTCCTTGACATCCTGCCACCCGCCTGGACAAACCATGGCAGTAGAAGGGAATGGGTAGGTAACTCAAGAGTGTAGTGCCGTAGGACAGCAAAGTGCAAGAGGGAATTCACTCCAAGGAACCAAGCACATGTGCATTCTAGAAATCTATCCTCAAGGAGAAGCACAGGGCCAGTGGTTGGACCCTACCCACCACGTTCTGAACAACTCTGCCCCGGAGTAACTTCTGAAGGTAGATTACAGCCATTTCTATATCTTCTTCTTCCTAAAAGAAGAAAGGGAGAACCAAGCAGCTTGAGAACGGCAGCAGTCTACATCAAATGTTTTTTGAAGACTTACATCAAGCAAAAGAGACTGTGCTAGACGCCAGAAGGATTTAAAGAGAAATAAAACATGGTCCCCACCCTCACTGAACATAAAGTACTTTAAATGTTACTTACTGTATTGTTATAATTCATTATTATTTTTCATCATAAATAAGATATCATTAGCAAATCATATCAAGAGCAAAAATTCACCCACTGTCATGCTATCCCTACAAATTAAGCCATTTTCATTTTCCTAGACTCCTTTCCAGCAAAATACTCCTTGAAGCAGCAAGCATTGCTTATAATATCCCTTTTGCAATAGTTTCCTCACGTTTGATCATGAGTAGACAAAGAATACAGCTAGTCTCTGTCACAGTCTAGAGTGAGGTGCTTCTCACAAGAATTTAGTTAAACTGGGAAAATCAGAATATAACGGACAAGATTAGCCATCTGCAAAAATTACCTTAAATAACTATGTTTCAAAAGCAGAAAGAGCAGAGCCTGCAAATCTAACTAAGATGCCTCTGGATGCAAAAGAAAGCAACAGTCGAATCAAGGGCACTAACACATGTGAAAGACAACAGGTTAACCACAGCTGGTGGTCGGCACGAAGTGTAGAAAAGGGGACGCTGTCCAGAAGCACGTCCCGGCCAGTCAGTGGGAGCATCCCAGTCCCTCCACAGAGGTGACCCATCAGGGACGCTAGTGAGATCCCCCGTCACTCCCCTCCCTCTGACAAAGCACAACAACCTTCTGAATACAATTTGGCTTCTTGTGAGAACAGCCCGATCCTGGGAGATAGGGCTGACCTGTCAAGAGGAACATCCTGATCCATCACACGGTTCTATTTCTCTCCATAGAGTAATAAATTTGCATTGTGGCACCTCTAGCAGTTTCTAGTGGGTTTGTTTAGTCCTCGTCAGTCTAAACCTTAACCAGCTCTGGTACCTTGCCCAAGCTGAGTTTGGGGATCCACGAGGGTGAAGTATGGCCCTGGTCGGGGCGAACTCTTGGAGCCTGTCCTACCTCAGAAGCTGGCCTGCCACCTCTGGCATTTTGTTCCTCTCTGCCTCCAGCTGTTATCAGCCACCTCCCCGTGTGGGAAGATAGCGATGACAACTGAGCATCATTTGATCTGCTTTTTTTGTTTGACATACATGAGGATTACCTTCTGATATCTATTTTTCTTGGGAAGATTTTTTATTCTTTGTGTTTTTATTCTTGAAAAGGATTGGGTTTAGATTTGATTTGATTTCATTTCATTTTGCTTGTTTTTGTCTGTGTGTTTGAAACATAAAAATAAAAGCACCATAAGTCAGATCTTGGGAGATTAACACCATTAAATTAGGTTTGTTTTTAACCCAAACTATCCTAAGAATAAACGGACAGTAATACTGAATTTAATATTTCAAATAAAAAAGTTTCAAGCTTACATTGGAACTCATTTCCAAGGTTGGAGTTGGAAGCCGAGGTTGAGGAATTGGCTTTCTTTGAAGAAAGCGCAGAGGTTTCTTTGGTTCAAGAGCCTTATTCTTCTTATCCAACAGTGCCTGCAATAACACCAACAAGTGTCATATCTTACCTTTGTATTTTCTTCCACTACCAGATCTAGGCCACAGATCTGAATATCAACCAGAAATAATCTTCTCTATGGCTGTGCTAGGACAGTTGGACAAAGTCCAAGCCGGGGTGTTTGTATGTCTTAAGGGATGCTATGATATTCCTAAGGATAAGTTAACCACTGAATACACATAGCACATATTCTAGGCAGATCCATTTAAATCAAAGATTTGGGGGATTTTAAAATTAAAAGTTTTTAAAAGGTTCTGTCATGTGTGTCTGCAAGCAAAACCCCCAACTCCTATTCTTTCACATGAGCTAAAAATTCTGAACAACATTATAGCAAATCAAATCCAACAACATACTGTCATGCACTGCATAATGACATTTTGGTCAACAATGGACTGCATATACAACAGTGGTCCCATAAGATTAGTACCACATAGTGTAGGTGTGTAGTAGGCTATACCATCTAGATTTGTGTAAGTACACCCTATGATGTTCGCACAATGACAAAATTGCCTAATGATGCATTTCTCAGAACCTATCCCCGATGTTAAGCAATGCATGACTGTATTAAAAATAAGATAACACACCTTGACCAAGTTAGGTTCATGCCACATATGCAAGGATAGATTAATATTTGTAAAAAATTATAAATGTTCCTTACTATAATAATAATTTTAAAAAGAAAAAATATGTAATTACCTCAATAGATGCACACAAAACATTTGATAAAATTCAACATAAACATACAATTAAAAGCTTCAGTAAATTAGGAATAGAAGGGAACTTCCATATCCTAATAAAGAGTATCTGAAAAAAAAAATCTTACAGAAAGCAAGAGAATGATGAATATGGGGTTCAGAATGGGTAAAGGGAGACAGGGGGATGAGGTGGGCAAGAACCACATAGACATACGTAAATTATTGTCAAAGTCCTAATTTTTATCTTGAGTATGGAATCCCATGGATTCTTATTCTAATACTAACACTAACTGAACAGACAAACATGCATGGACCAGTGGTGAGAGTATGTCACAAACCAGTGAGTCTCAAAGTGTGGCTCCTGCAGCATCAGCATCACCTGGAAACCTGTAAAAAATACAAATACTCCAGCCCCACCCCAGACCTACTGAATCAGAAACTGGGAGTGGGGCCCAGCAACATGTGTTTTAACAAGCCCTCCATGTGATTCTGATGCACACTAAAGATTGAGCACCACCATTAATAACCAGGAATTCTCAAGTATCCAAGTTTCTACACCTACAGTCCAGTTAACAATAGAGAAAGTCCAGCTGGTGGATGCTGTGTAGTTGGTTCGTGGGGATGATCATCAAACTTTCTCATCTAGTTGAATTTTAAACTAGATGAGAAAGGAGTTGAACGTGACTCTCTTTCTTCATGATGCCCTGGTAACAAATCTAAAAGGAAGAAAATGAGGCCTATTACACTATTAAAACCAATAGTAATCCCTAACATTAGAAACTTGCGGGCCGGCCCTGTGGCTTGGTGGTTAAGTGCGCGCGCTGCGATGCTGGTGGCCCGGGTTCAGATCCCGGGTGCGCATCGAGGCACCACTTCTCCGTTCATCCTGAGGCCGAGTCCCACATGCAGCAACTAGAAGGATGTGCAGCTACGACATACAACTATCCACTGGGGCTTTGGGGGGAAAAAATAAAATCTTCAAAAAAAAAAAAAAAAAAAAAGAAACTTGCTACTCCTCAACGTAGCATCAAATTTTATTATGTAGATCCAAAGTCAAAACCACTTTTAGAAAGTAACATGACTCCTGCAAATGGGAAGAATAACCTCCAAAAGGTTTTCCTACATTTGAAACGAGAGAAAAAAACACATTGGTTCAGCACAGCACAGGCAACCTCCAGAAGAGAAGAGTCTAGAGGGGAGAAAGAATGTAGGGTTGTGTGTTGAGAACTATGGGACATTGCTGCCCAAGACAAAGTGCAATTTTTGGAGTGAAGTATTTCTCTGCAAAAGTCCCACTAGAAGCATCTTGTCTTCCAGATAAGAATTATACCTTATGAACCTCTGCCAACTCATGGTCCATCCTTGCTGCCCTCTTCAGAAAACCAGCTTTGGTGGTAGTGACTTTTGGTTTTGGAGGTCTGATTCGGGGTTGTGTCACAAAATCTGGGAGACACGACTCAAGCTCGACTAATCCTGTGGGAAGCAAGTACATGTTTTTAGTGTCTGGTGCTTAAATTTACCATTTTAGAAGCATATTGTTAATTTCAGTGGCTGTTTGCCAAGTGGTTTCATTTAGAATTATTGATAAGGTGTATCTCATATAATTGAATTGTCCCCAAAATGTAAGGTAAATTTCTGTATAATTAACTCATGTTCTCAGTGACTTAGACTATAAAATGAGAAATGCATTCTAAAATGAAAACAGTGCCCTACAACAAAAGTAACAAATTCCACAAAAATAACCAACAGAAAATTAATTATCATATGACAGATGGCACCACCGTTCTAAAGTGAATGTACACCAATTTATCATATTCTGCTCTGGAGATGGTTGGCTAGAGCTACAAGGTCAACAGTGTGACCATCAACTCATGGTCTTGGCCATGTGATGCTTCAACTTGTCAACTGAAATTTCAACAATTTAAATTAAGCCTCTTGGACTTTATAACAGGTACAGCCCTGCCCATGAATTTATCCCCTGCTTATCCATCCCGTTGCCCACTAGTCTTCTGGCATTTCTTCCTAAAGGGCTTATTTCACTATATATTTCTTGTTTGCTTCATAAACCTGGTATAAAAGCTTTTTCTATTTCGTTTTTGCATCACTTTGATTATTAGTGACATTAAACATGTTTAAATGCTTAGTAGCTAATTGAGTTTACTTCTTGATAAATTGTTGTATCCATATATATTTGAGTCTTAGTAGTTTTTGTTAGCTTGTTTGAACTCATATTATTAATAATATTAAATGTATTAATTGTTTTACAACTACAACTTAATACAATTAATTAATTTAAATGTATTAAAAATATTAATTTCTTACAAATATTCTTATTTATTGTTTAGCTTTTAATCTAAATTGCTATATTTTACATATCTAATTTATATTTCTAAGATAACCCTCTTATTCTGGACTTGTAATTATGTAAATTGCTTACCTTCATAGGTGTTGAGATAGTGGTTTTTTACTACAAAGTCCTCTGAGCTGTTGTCTGGGAAACGACCAAGGCGCGATAGAGGTCCATAGACCTGTGATGCATAATCAGAATAATCCTTGATGATGTTTCTTCTCTCCAACTTCCCTTCTATATTCTTCCCCTTTCCCACAAGTTTTCTGATTGCTAAAACAAAACATACCTCCATGACTATCTCCAGAATATTGTTCTGAACAATCCAAATGCAGAAGAGTAAACCAGGTCTAGTTTTATTCACAGGGAAGATACTGAACCGAATGAATTTCACGATGACCACTCACTGCAGCCAGAATGTAACACTGAAAACAGAGCTCTGTCATCTGCACAGTGGGAGTGACAAGCTGAATCAGCTAGTGCCCTCAATTGGTACTCATCAAAAATCTTTTATAACTGTATTCCAAGCTCTGGGCCAAGAAGAGGTATTCAATAAAAGTTTGTTAAATGAATGAAAGAAACTCAAAGTAACTGAAAAATATATGTTCAATGGAGACTAGGGGAATTATTCTCTCCAGGAGAATAATTACAAGGGAGGGAAGAAAGGCAAAGGGGCACATGTATATGGTGATAGATGGCAACTAGACTTCTGGTGGTGAACATGATGTAGTCTACACAGAAGTCAAAATATAATGATGTACACCTGAAACATACATAATGTTATAACCAATGATACCTCACTTAAAAAAATAAATTATAGGAAAAAATATATATACAAGAAGAAGAAATGAATGAACTCTAAAAAAACAGAAAAAAAAAGAGGGAAGACTACGGGTTCTTCAGTAATATCTATCCAGCTTGGCTAACACCAGAATAAATCAGAATCGATCCTAGCTAGTAGCTTTCAGAATTGTTTGGCAGTCAGAGGGAAAAGGCCCAGCTGTGCCTATTAGGAGTCTACTCATCTAAGGAGTCATGCGTACTACCCCCGCCTGCTCCTTTTTCATTCCTATCACAGACTCATCCCCTTTTGAAGGCTCCACATCCTGCACTCTCAATGGGTACAACATCACATCGTGAGACTGTGAAGTCATATTGCAAGAGGTGGCGGTGGGGCCTCTACTCCTTTATGGATGTTGTCTCTGTTTTGATCCTCAGTGCTTTTGTGTGTGACCTGGGGTTTTAGAATTAAATAAAAACAGTTCACATTTTATTATTTATCTACAAAAGTTAGTCAACCCATCATTAGTTATGTCAAGTACTGAAAAGAAAAAAATGTTGACAATATCTAAATGCATAACTAGCAGCTAGCTAAGTTAAAAGTTATTTTCTCACACACACAAAAAGTTCAGGGGCATATAACAGTGAGAACAGATAACAGGGCCCTGACTTATCTGAGGGGTCCTTGAAGGCCTCCCTGAGGAAGTGACATGTGAGTTGTGTCTTAGCCTGGGTTCCCCCAAAGGCAGAGCCTGAAACATTGGCATGCGTGCAGGTAGTTTATTTGGGAGGTGATCCCAGAGGGCAGAAGGGAGGGACAGGAGGAGTAAAAAAAAAAAAAAAGTCAACCCATCATTAGTTATGTCAAGTATTGAAAAGAGAAAAGGTTGACGATATCTAAATGCATTCTTAGCAGCTAGTTAAAAGTTATTTTCTCACATCAAGAAAAACTTAAAAGTTAAGTTCACTAAAAATAACTTTTCAGGAGTTAATTTAATTTTTATAATTGTTTTACTTTTGCTAGAAAAATAATTTTGAATGATTTTTTTAAAATGTGATTACATTGCTACTATGTATGTAAATCATTAATCTGCATATATAATCAATACCCAATAATTTTTATAAGCAAATAAATTACAGTAGTCCCTCCTTATCTGTGATTTCGCTTTCTGTGGTTCCAGTTACTTGCAGTCAACTGTGGTCCGAAAATATTAAATGGAAAATTCCAGAAATAAACAATTTATAAGTTTTAAATTGTGTGCTGTCCTGAGTAGCATGATGAAATTTTGGCTGTCCTGCTCCTTCTCACCCGGGACGTGAATCATGCCTTTGTCCAGCACATCCACAGTGTATATCTGCTACCTGCTCGTTAGTCACTTACTGGCCCTCTGTGTTATCAGATCGACTGCTGTGGTATCACGCTGCTTGTGTTCAAGTAACCCTTATTTTACTTAATAACGGCCCCAAAGCGCACGAGTAGTGATGCTGGCAATTTGGATATGTCAAAGAGAAGCCGTAAAGTGCTTCCTTTAAGTGAAAAGATGAAAGTTCTTGACTTAATAAAGAAAGAAAAAAATCATACACTGAGGTTGCTAAGATCTACAGTAACTTTTATTACAGTTTATTGTTATAATTATTCAATTATTATTCTATTATATAATTATTCTATTATTCAAATAGAATAATGAATTATTCTATTATTCATTATTGTTGTTAATCTCTTATTGTGCCTAATTTATAAATTAAATTTTATGCTAGGTATGTCCCTATATGAAAAAATGTAGTATATATAGGGTTCAGTACTATCCGTGGTTTCAGGCACCCACTGGGGGTCTTGGAACATATCTCCCACGGATAAACAGGGACTACTGTATATTAAAAGTTACTCAGCAAATACAGCTACAAAGTTTAAATGTTACTAAGTTAAAAATTTTTTAATTTAAATTTTTATTTAGTCATTCGTAATCCTCCACTGGATCCTCTCATTGTATACAGTACAGATACACTTACAGTACCTAAACAGATACACAGTATAGCTGTGGTATTAAAATTTCATGGGAGTGGGCGAGTGGGAAAAAAGACGTCTGAATGTCTCTTTTAGGAGGCAATAATGAAAAAAAGGTTGAGAAACAGGGCTCACTATCCAGGGCCTCAGCCCGTGAACATGAGGAGCCCAAAACCTACACACACACACACCCCATAATGTCAATAACTCAGTTACCTGTTAGAACATCATGACTTGATTTTCTTAGTGAGGAATTTCCTCCATTCTTCTACTTTTTTTTTTTTTTTGAGGAAGATTAGCCCTGAGTTAACATCTGTTGCCAATCCTCCTCTTTTTTACTGAGAAAAACTTGCCCTGGGCTAACATCCATGCCCATCTTCCTCTGCTTTATATGGGATGCTGCCACAGCATGGCTTGATAAGCAGTGTGTAGGTCTGTGCCTGGGATCCAGGCCTGCAAACCCCGGGCCGCCAAAGAGGAGCATGCAAACTTACCTGCTACACCACCCTGCCGGCCCCTTGACTCTTCTACTTTTGAGAAATAACTCATCTCCCGTCCCTTACCTATTTAGTAACACTAGGGCCAAAAAAGAATTATATCACTGTTAAATTAGGTTTGGGCAAGGATCCAAAGCAAAGTCAACTCTTTCATTCTCTGCATTGTTGATACCACACCATTACCTGATACGTGTGTGTGTTGAATTTGCGCCAACTTTGCCTCCTTTGCTTCCTGCAGTTGAGACCACTGGGCATTCAAGTGCTTCATGTTCACTTCATTCTGATTCTCATCACGCTTCTTCAACAGCTCTTTCAGAACTTCCAGGCGAAGCTCCTGCAGTCTTCAATACATCACAAAACACAAGGAAGTATATGGTATCTCAAACCAGGTGTTCCACTAGAGAGAAAGGGAACACCTGCCATACACAAGATCTCTGGGCTGGTATCGGATTCATGTATTTTAAAAAGACCACTCTGGCAAAGTGTGACAAAGGAACTGGGGGTTTGGAGGAGGCAACTCCACCGTGAGTCTCTGTATAACAGGAACATGTATGGGTGTAGTTCTGAAGGACGAAGAAGGGTGGGTCAGGTAGATGGGGTGAAAATAGGAGCTCTCTAGAAGACAGATCTAAACGAACAACAAGATGTTGTGCACAGTTCCAGGCCGACTGGTACAGCTGGAGGGTGAAGTAACAGGGGAGTGAAGAGAAAATGAGGCTGTGGCATGCCATCTGCAGTCCTGCCAGTGTCTGGCACAGGTACGTACTCAGTCTTTGTTTCCTTTCCCCTTACCCTCACCTTCTCCAGGGCTCTTGCTCACGCATATACAACCATGTACAGATGACTTCAAAAGCTGTACCTCCAGCCCAGATATTTCTGAACCAGAATTTCTGTCTACTTGAATCTCCAGCTGTCCCCTGACAACCTAAAAAACCCACTTGTTTTGTTCCCCCAGAAATCTACCCCTTCTCTTACACCTTCTTCCCTCCTCTAATGAGTCCTCCTCCAAAACCCTTCTTTTATCCACTCCCTAGCTCACGTCTTTCTGTCACCTCTCTCTTAATTTGGACTCTAGTTGCTAGTCTAGTCTCTCCTCCTTCCAATCTTGTTCCACATAGCTGTCAAGATTTTCCTTCCTAAAATAGAGATTTGAACATTTTACTCCTACTTAAAAATTCGTACAGTAATTTATTCAGTCACTCATTTGTCAAATATTTATTAAGTGCTCACCATATGCCAGGCAGGGAGCAAACAATGATGACCAAGGTAAATGCCTTCTCTCAAGAAGCACTGTTCTGGTGGAGTAGGCATATAAATCAACGTTTACAACACAGGGAGATAAACACCAGACCAGAGGAATGAGAAGCCTTCTGTGAGAGAGGAAATGGCAGAGCACCCATGTCTAGCGCTATTCCCAGTTGATCCGGGGGAAGGAAAGGATGGTAGGGAAGGCTTCCTCAGAGGAGCCATTAACTCAGCAGTCTTGAGGATAGACAAGGATTTGCCACATTGACAAGGGAGAAGTGAGGCCTCAGCAGAGGGAGCGGAATATTCACAAGGACCAGAGACAGAGCAGACCTGTCATACTGCTGGAGCTTCTCAAAGTGAACACACACGGAAGGGTGGGGAAGGAGCGACAAGGGAATATGCAGAGGCAGGCGTTTTTAAAAATAACCCACACACCAAAGTCACCTTTCCCTCTAGAGTTAGAAATCCTAGGTTCAGTTCTCAACTTCATCGCTTACCTCAACTTCTTCAGTCATAAAATGGACACAATAATATTATCCATCCCATAAGGTTGTTGTGAGCTTTAAATGAGTTAATGCATACAGTGTGCTAGAACAGTCGTTCTCAAACTTGAGCATGCATCGGATAATCTGGAGGCCTTGTTGTGACGCAGATTGCTGTGCCCCACCCTCTGATTCTGTATGTCTGGGGTGGGCCCTAAGAACGTGCCTTTCTAACACGTTCCCAGGAAACGCCGACGCTGCTGGTCTCTAGACCACACTTTGAGAGCTGTCGGCTTGGAACTTGGCTCCAGCACACAGTAAGAATTCTGGAAGTGTTACATGCTCTATGAATATCACCACCATCATCATCATCACCACCACCACCACCCATAGTATCGTCTACCTGATGGCTTCTTACCCTTCAACACTCAGCTCAGAGGCTACTACCTCTCAGTAGTTTTCCCAAATCCCCACCCACCTGAAACAGAACTGACTCTTCCCTCACCTGGGCTCCCCAGCACTTTGTGTACAGAGCAGCACATCACCTGATGGACCCTGCCTGAGAGTCGTTGGTCTGCAGGTCCTTTGCCCCATCTCCCCCCATCTCCACCCCCAGTGGACCATAAGGAGCTCTGTCAGGGCAGGGCCATTTCCTATTCATCCCTGTTTCCCCAACTCACAGCACACAGCCTGGCACATAGGAGGAACTCAAAATATGTTTATTAAAACTAACCTCAGTTTAACAAAAGTACTCACTTTCTCAGGTGATACCTTCATTCTGGCCAAATACATTTTTAATATTTTAATGTCATTCTGACAAGAATATACCTCTACAAATTACAGCAACAAATTTAAATTTCTACAGACAAGATTGGATATCTGACACCTACTTTGCCCCAAACCCTATTTTCTATTAAATTACAAGCTTTTACCAAAACATCGCACAGTCTGGATTCAGGGTTAATCAGAAGGTGTTACAAAAAGACACACATATTTTGAGTTCAGAACCACACTGAGTCCCTAACTCTCCTGGGCCCTAACTTTCTCGTGTGTGAGCGCACTGTCAGGGGCCTTGGCAGCACTGCTATGAGCAATAACGGGCCTCAGCATAGCCTGGAACAAAGGACAACCCCAACCAGTTCCCTTCTTTTCCTTCTTGCTAGGGAGTTGTATTTTTTTGGTTCTCGTCATTTCTACATATTCCAGGGACAACCTCATTACTGAAAACATCCGTTAAAATGATTGAAAACTCAACCAGAAGTACCTCAGCATATTGTTCTTTATGTGCTGTGAGCTCATCTCTTAATTGAAGAATTCCACAATTTGTCTTTTAAATAGAAAACGTCCCATTAGCTGTAGCTAGAACCCAAGGTGTCCTGACTGCGAATCCAGTACTGAGGGAATGAGAGACAGGACCAGCTGGGAGGCTGTTTGGGGGATATAAAGAGGACCAAGGCCTAGGGACAGTGGCTCTGGGAATGAACAGAAAGGGACAGTTTGAAAGACATTTTGCAAAAATCAGTGGAATTCTGTGACAGCTGAGACTAGACACTAAAGAGAAAAGGCAGGAGAAGAATCAGAGACGCCTTGAGCAATTGTTCAGACCCGGGTTCCACACTGCACTTCCCACACAAAGAGGGCATGATACATTTTTATATTAGTGGAGAGAAAATTATAGAGCGATTGCTCCTGAAAAGAACCAGAAACCCGGGGCCAGCCTGATGGCGCAAGCAGTTGGGTGCGCCTGCTCTGCTGCGGCAGCCCGGGGTTCGCCAGTTCAGATCCTGGGCGCACACCAATGCACCACTTGTCAGGCCATGCTATGGCAGCATCCCGTGTAAAGTGGAAGAAGATGGGCATGGATGTTAGCCCAGGGCCAGTCTTCCTCAGCAAAAAAAAAAAAAAAAAAAAAGAGGATTGGCAGATGTTAGCTCAGGGCCGATCTGCCTCACACACACACAAAAAGAACCAGAAACCCAATTTCCTATCTCTAAAGCTTGAGGATTGCTTTCAAACCCATGCATTTGGGAAAATGCTTTACAGATAAAAAGTATTAATGTTACTCTCAGTGCAGAAGCAGTTGTCTGGGTGATCAAGAACCTACTTTTCAATCTCCTGCTCTCTGAAGGCCCACTCCTTCCTCTCCATCACATTCATCATCCTCCTCCTCTTCTCAAACTGGGAGGTGTCACTCAGAGAGGGAAGAGTGGCTTCCCAAGCACGCTTCTCCCGGGCACGTTCTATCATCTCTACCTCAGCTTGACCTGCTGGGAGACCTCGACCTGGAGGGTGAAGCAAAAGACTTTAGAAACATGTAGACAAACCATGTACGTACCAGTATTTAATTTACTCCTGTTTAGTTCCTTTCCTCTTTAAATTCAAGGGTTAAAACAGTATGAAATGATATTAGGAAATATCTCCAGATGTGCCTCACAGCTTGTGCACTGCACTGCCTCTTGTTAGTAATTCAGCCAGAAGACACTGTAGTTGCATGTAAAATGCTAGAAAGTATTTGAAGAATATTATGTGACTGCTGAATAATCACACCTTGCAATGCCCTGTATCGGACAAATCTATATTTTGAAATACAAAGAAATATCAAAGTAACTTGCAGAAGGTCACTGCTGGTCAGTGGTGGAAATCAGGATTTGAACGTGGCAATCTGACTCTTGTGGTCTTATGCACTACACTATATTCCCTCTCTAACAAAACAAATATGAAACAAAAATAAACTACACAGACAAGCCCACAGCTAACATCATAACCACAGCTAACAACAGTGAAAGGCTAAAAGCTTTTCCTCTAACATCAGGAACAAGACAAGTGTGCTCACTTTCACCACTCCTATTCAAAATAGTCCTGGTAGTCCTAGCCAGAGCAATCACGCAAGAAAAAGAAATAAAAGGCATCCAAACCAGGAAGGAAGTAAAACTGTCTCCGTTTGCAGATGACATGATATATAGAAAACCCTAAAGACTCCATCAGAAAACTGTTAGAACTAATAAATGAATTCAGTAAAGCTGCAGGATACAAAATCAACATACAAAAATTAGTTGTGTTTCTATACACTAACAATGAACTATCTAAAACAGAAATAAAGAAAACAATCCCATTTACAATAGCATCAAATATAATAAAATACTTAGGAATAAATTTAACCAAGGAGGTGAAATATCTGTACACTGAAAGCTATAAGACATTAATGAAGGAAATTAAGGAAAACACAAACAAATGGAAAAATATCCCATGTTCATGGACTGGAAGAATTAATATTGTTAAAATGTCTATACTACCCAAAGCTATCCACAGATTCAATGCAATCCATGTCAAGATTCCAATTGGTATTTTTCACAGAAATAGAAAAAACAATCCTAAAATCCACATGGAACCATAAAAGATCCCAAATAGCTGAAGCAATGTTGAGAAAAAAGAACAAAGCTAAAGGCATCACACTTCTTGATTTCAAAGCTATAGTAACGAAAACAGTATAGTACTGGCATAAAAATAGACACATAGGCCAATGGAACAGAAGCAAGAGCCCAGAAATAAATCCTCGCATATACAGTCAACTAATATTTGACAAGGGAGCCAAGAATACTCAACAGGGAAAAGATAGTCTCTTCAATAAACGGTGCTGGGAAAACTGTATATTCACATGCAAAAGAATGAAACTGGATCCCTATCTTACACGACTCACAAAAATTAACTCAAAATGGATTAAAGACTTAAGTGTAAAACTCCTAGGAGAAAACATAGGGGAAAAGCTCCTTGATATTGGTCTTGGCAATGATTTTTTGGATATGACACAAAAAGTACAAGCAACAAAAGAAAAAATAAACAAAAGGGACTACATCAAACTAAAAAGCTTCTGAACAGCAAAAAAAAAAAAAAAACCATCAACAAAATAAAAAGGCAACCTACAGAATGGGAGAAAATAATTTCAAACCATGTATCTGATAGGGACTAATATCCTAAATATATTAGGAACTCATACAACTCAATAGCAAATAACAAACAATGCGATTAAAAAATGAGCAGAGAATCTGAATAGACATTTTTCCAAAGAGGACATACAAATGTCCAACAGGAACACGGAAAGGTGCTCAACATCACTAATCATCAGGGAACTGCAAATCAAAACCACAATGAGATATCACCTCACACCTGTTAGAATGGCTGTTACCAACAAGACAAGAGATAACAAGTGCTGGGAAGGATGTGGAGAAAAGGGAACCCTTGTGCACTGTTGGTGGGAATATAAATTGGTGCAGCCACTGTAGAAAACAGTATGGAGGTTCCTCCAAAAATTAAAAATAGAACTACCATATGACCCAGCAATTCCACTTCTGGATATATATCTAAAGGAAAAAAATCACTATCTCAAAGAGATATCTTCACCCAATGTTCATTGCAGCATTATTTAGAATAGCCAAGACATGGAAACAACCCAAATGTCCATTGACAGATGAATGGATAAAGAAAATGTGAGACAGACAGACAGATAGATAGAGACACACACACACACATATATGTATAAATATTATTCAGCCATAAAAAAGAAGGAAATTCTATCATTTGTGACAACATGAATAAAACTTGAGGGCATTACGCTAAATAAAATGTCAGACAGAAAAAGACAAATACTACACGATCTCACTTATAACTGGAATCTAAAAAAACCAAATTCATAGAAACAGAGAATAGACTGGTCATTGCCAGGGGCAATGGAGTGGGAGAAATGGATGAAAGTGATCAAAGGGTACAAACTTTCAGTGATAAGATAAATAAGTTCTGGAGATCTAATATTCTGGAGATCTAATGTACAGATCTATAGTTAACAATACTGTATTGGATACTTGAAAGTTGCTAAGAGAGTAGATCTTAAATGTTCTTGCCACACACAAAAAAATGGTAACTATGTGAGGTGATGGATGTGTTAACTAATCTTATTGTGGTAATCATTTCACAATATATATGTATATCAAATCATCACGTTGTACACCTTAAACTTACACAATGTTATATGTCAATTATATCTGGATAAAGCTGGGAAAAAATGAACTATACATAAACAAAATATAGTATTGTTTTTTATTTAATATTTACATACGTATATTTTACTATAGGTATCATTGGGCATCTTGGTTTTTTACTCAACTTTGTTTTGAGGACCTAGCCATACTGATACACAGATATCTAATTTCATTCTTCCACTGTAGGCATCTACCACAATTTAAGCTATCTTCTCAAACTGACATTTAGATTGCTTCTAATTTTTTGACTGCACATAATAATGCTGCTACAAACATCCTTGTACTGGTCTCATTATGCCTATATGTGAATTTCTCTACGATCCTTCAAAGAATCTAGAGTTTAGCAGCTAGATCATAAAATATGGTCATTTTAAGTTTTTCTGGATATTGTCAAGTTTGCCTCCGGAAGTATATTTTTGCTCAAGCCTTCTTAGATTCCCCTGATCCTCTCCCACAGTCTATGCTTCCTCACATCCTCCCACATTGCTTCTGCTTAATCTCAGCTGCTCTTTGCAGTCCTTAGAAATATTTAGTAGTTCACAGATTATTTATATATATATATATTTTTTTAGTTTCGCTGAAAATGGAATTTGTGGGAGTTGTGTTGTTCTTGTTGCTTTTGTATAATTTCTGGGAAGAGGAGAGGAACGATGCTGACTTACGTAGGCACGGCTATATTGGGAGCAGGGATTTGAATCAGAATTGCTTGAAGGTATAAAATATTTGGGGAAGAAATAATATCTATGAAGCACGTCTTCCCATTTATAAACATGGTGAGCCTCTCTTTTTACCAAATCTTTGTTTATGTGCTTAATGAACAATCTATATTTTTCTCCATAAATGCCTTGCACATGTTTTTATTAAGTGATTTCCTGGGTACTTTGTTAATTGCTGCTATGAAGAATATGATTTTTTTCAATAATATTTCTAATTAGATATTTCCCATATATAGGAAAGCTACTGATCTTTGTATATGCCAATTTCATAATCAGCTACCTTGTTGAACTCAAGTTCTTAGTTCTGATAATTTGTTATTTCATTTGATTTTTTAAACGAGCACATTGTCTGCAAATAAAGACAGTTTTGCTGCTTCTTTCTAATTCTCATAGCTCTTTCTTTTTTTTCCTCTTACTGCATTGACTCAGTATTTCTCAAGCAGGGTGCTGTTATGGCCATACTGGGCACACGATTATTTGTTGTATGGGACTGCCCCACGAAGGACAGGATGTTTAGTATCCATGCCAGCCCACCACAAACCGCATCCCATGTGCTAAACGCCAGGAGCACTTCCTAATCGTTACTACATAAGAAAATGCCAGCCATGTTTCCAAACGTCCCTGGGGTCACAGCCCAGCTTAATAAGCTCTGGGCTAGGATCGTCCCTGCATTGCTAAATAATAGTGGTGGTGATGGGATCATTGTGTTTCTCTTTACTTTAAGTGTAAAGCTTCTAAAGTCTCACCTTTAGTATTATGTTTATTGAAGGCTGTGATAGATACCTTTATTAAGTTACTAAAATTTCCTTCTTATCCCAGAAGTAAAATTTCCTTCTGATTATATCATGAATGAATGCTGAATGTTATCAAATACTTTTTCTGGATCTATTGAAGCATTTTTCCTACACTTTCTCTTAAAATAATAAATTATATTGGTTGGTTTTCTGATATTGTACTAAACTTGAATCTATGTGATTAACCCACTTGGTTATAATAAGTCATCTTTTTAGAATACTGCAAGAGTTGATTGCTGGTGTCTTATTTAGAATTTTTGCATTTTCTCCATATGTGAGATGGGCCTGTAATTTTCCTTTCTAGTACTATCCTGATTCAGTTTTCAAATCAAGGCTATACTAGCTTCATAAAATGAATAAATTAACGCTTATTCTCGCTTTCTCTTTCTGGAAGAATTTGCATAAAACTGAGCGTATTTGTTCCTTGAAGGAGTGGTAAACTTACCTGTGAAACTGTTTAGGCCTACTGCTCTTAAAAGGGTTTTTTTTCCTTTACCAAGTCAATATCTATAGTTATTCTTCTGCTCAGGTTTGCTATTTCTTCTTGAAACCAACTTGGTCATTTATATTTTCTTTGAAAATTGTATAATTTATCTAAGTTATAAAATACAGGGCAGAAGATAGGCACAGCCTTCTCTTACAGTTCTTAAACACTTTACTCTGTAGTTATATCCCCTCTCAACCTTAATACTCTTTATTTGCGTATTCTATCTTTGGCCTTGATGTTTCCTACAAGAGG